AATGTTGTAAATACTTGAAGATGATGAGGTTGAGAGAGTAAAAAGGCCATTTTCGAAAAAAGTAAAAAAAAAAATTTAATGGCATTTTCGTAAATAAAATGAAGATGTGGGGTGGATTGGACAAAAACAAGATGAGATAAAAGAAGAAGTTAGTTTTGTGTTTGACCATGAGTTTTGAGTCAAATTTGCAAAAAGCCCTATATTTGAAATGAAATAAAATAAAAATATTTTTAATGATTGTTTCTTTTTCATGTCTATTAAAACATGTACTAATACAATATATTTTCATAAAAGATTATTCATACAATTGAGATTTTAAAACATAATTTTTAAAAAACACATATATTTTGTGGCTACAAGGATCAAAACATGATAAAATTTCATAAGTTATTAATAGTTTTATTACCTCTAAATTAGATGATAAAATGCTGATATATAATGTTTTCTATTACCTATACAACTAAGATTATTTGCAATTCACTTATAGATTCATCTATAAATTTTGTTCTAAAATAAAGAAATTCTATTACCAAAGTATATAAATGATAAAAGCACAGAAAAATCGAGACCTTACAATGACAACACAAGCATTACTAAATTACAATTGAAACTTCATAATATGTTTGAGTAAGAAGAATAAAAGAAAATTAATAAAGACAAAACTAAGAGTTTAATAAAGTATATTCCATTATCATATACTTGATTGGCTTGATTCACCTTTCAAATTCTTTGTATTTCACTCTAATTTACATTTCTTTAGATTGCGTTTAATTTGAACTTTCGGGTCTCGCTTATTTTTCTAGCTCTACGTATATGTGCCATGATTATTGAATTGAAGTTTAACCAAAACTTATGTAAAAAAACCGAATTTTGATTCCTAAAATTAATTCGACACACCATATATAAAAACATTCAATTTCAGTAAAAAAAAGTTTCTTATTTTTATCTTTTTTTATTAAACTTATGAAACATTAATCAAAACCCGTGCAACGCATGTGTCCATATCTAGTTATTAATAAAATAGAGTATAATAGTATATTTTATTAACTTAGTTTTCTCTTAAAATGTTCTCTATAAGTGTTTCAAAAAAAAAAAAAAATGTTCAATTTTTGAACCACTCATCAACGATAATAAGATAATAATATAAATACGCTCCAATCTCCTCAAAATCACACTTCCTATTGTAGGTCGCACACTCTCTCTTGATCATCCTCTCCTCTCCTCCTTCCTCAACTCCACATGGCTTCCCTCGCCGCAAGTCCCGCCTTCTCCCTCCTCAAATCCACCAAAGCCATCACTTCCTCCGCCTCAACTCGCGCACGCGCCTCCCTCCTCCCCATCCCCTCAAAACCCACCTCCACGCGTCCCCTCGGCTTCTCCGCCGTCCTCGACAACTCCCACCGTTTCTCCCTCCACGTGGCCTCCAAGGTTCATCACTCTGCGCGCGGGAAAGGGAGCAGAGGAGTTGTCTCCATGGCGAAGAAGAGCGTCGGTGATCTGAGCTCTGCTGAGTTGAAAGGGAAGAAGGTTTTCGTGAGAGCTGATCTCAATGTACCTCTCGATGATAATCAGACGATTACTGATGATACGAGGATCCGTGCTGCGATTCCGACGATCAAGTATTTGATTGATAATGGTGCTAAAGTCATCCTCTCTACTCATCTGGTAATGTTCGGACACTACATTTGAAGTGCCTCCCGGTTCGGTTAATTAGGTTTTCGGTTAGCTTAAAATTGTGCCGAATTAAACATAAACATATTTCGGTTAGTCTAGGGAATTTAACCAACATTTTAGTTTCTGTTTAGTTTGATTAAAAACTCGGATACTTTGGCGGTTTCTGGTTATCTCATGGTTGAAATTTTTGGATAGTTCGTTAGTTCCGTTCGTAATTTGGTTTGTTCTTTTTGGTGAAAACTGAACTAACCGATTTTCAAAACAATAACCGTTTCATTTAATTGCTGAATAGAACCAAAAAAACCCGTAAATTTCGGTTTAGTTCGGTTTGCGGAAATTCTGCTGAATTTAACAAAAAGTTCAGTTTCATTTAGATTTTCGGTTTAGTTTGATTAAAAACTCGGATAGTTTGGGGTTTACCGGTTAGTTTGGGTCGAAATTTTGGTTAGTGTGTTAGTTCTGTTCGTAATTTTGGTTGAATTCGGTATGGTTTGTATTCTTTTTGTGAAAATCGAACAAACCAATCGCCGAACCTAACCGATAACCATTTCCTCTTAATTGCTGAACAGAACCGAACTCTAAACCGAGCATGAACCGAAAACCGTAAATTTCGGTTTATTTTGGTTGGATTCAAATCAGCTGGCCTAGTTAGACCCTTTCAAGCGTTTGAACAATTAATCTTTTTTTTTTGCAGGGAAGGCCAAAAGGAGTGACACCAAAGTTCAGTTTGGCTCCTCTTGTCCCTAGGCTGTCTGAACTTCTTGGTATTGAGGTAAAAAAAGATTCATGCTTTGTCTCACTATCTTTATGTAGGAATCAATGGCTGCAGAGTTTTCTGAGGGTGATTTTCGTTGCAGGTCAAGAAAGCTGACGACTGTATTGGTCCGGAAGTGGAAAGCTTGGTGGCTTCTCTACCTGAAGGTGGAGTTCTGCTTCTTGAGAACGTCAGATTTTACAAGGAGGAAGAGAAAAACGATCCTGAGTTTGCTAAGAAGCTTGCTTCCCTAGCTGACCTCTATGTCAATGATGCTTTTGGAACTGCACACAGAGCTCATGCTTCCACTGAGGGAGTCACAAAGTTTTTGAAACCCTCAGTTGCTGGTTTCCTTCTTCAAAAGGTTATCATCTTAATAGAGATTCTGATACATTGTGGCGTTGGTACCATACCCTTAACTCTCTGTGCATTTTACAGGAGCTTGATTACCTTGTGGGAGCTGTTTCAAACCCGAAGAGACCATTTGCAGCCATCGTTGGTGGTTCCAAGGTGTCATCCAAGATTGGAGTTATTGAATCGCTTCTTGAGAAGTGTGACATCCTTCTTCTTGGTGGTGGAATGATCTTTACATTCTACAAGGCGCAAGGTCTTTCTGTTGGCTCGTCCCTTGTTGAAGAAGACAAACTTGAACTGGCTACGTCTCTCCTTGCCAAAGCTAAGGCCAAAGGAGTTTCTCTTTTGTTGCCAACTGATGTTGTGGTTGCTGACAAGTTCGCTCCTGATGCCAACAGCAAGGTATGTCTCTCTGTCTCTCTTAAGAGCAACGTTTGCTAGAGCTTTTGTGTTCTGAGTGAAGTATGTAATGTGTATGTTTGTAGGTTGTGCCTGCATCAGGCATTGAGGATGGATGGATGGGACTGGACATCGGTCCAGACTCGATAAAAACATTCAATGAGGCTCTGGACACAACACAGACAGTCATTTGGAACGGACCTATGGGAGTTTTCGAGATGGAGAAGTTTGCAGCTGGAACAGAGGTAAGAAAATGATTACTCATAGAGTTAAAAACATGTGGTGGATGACCATGATTGGGATTGTTATGGTTATTGTGGTTGCAGGCGGTTGCGAATAAACTAGCAGAGCTAAGTGAGAAAGGAGTGACAACTATAATAGGAGGAGGAGACTCAGTGGCTGCAGTGGAGAAAGTAGGAGTTGCAGGAGTCATGAGTCACATCTCCACTGGTGGTGGAGCCAGCTTGGAGCTCTTGGAAGGCAAGGTACTTCCTGGTGTGATCGCCCTTGATGAAGCCATCACAGTCACTGTTTAGAAACTCACCCTTTTGATGAGTGAGTCCAACTATGTATACTCTTGAGTTTCTTTTGTTGTAAATCATCATCATCTACCTATTCAAGACTATGACCCTTTTTAAATAAGTACTTGTTGGTCTTAAAAGAACCTTAGTTAAAATCTCCGAAACACACAATAAAAAAAAAAAATAAAGAAAACACATTAAACTAGAAGACTGAGAACTTGCTCGAGTAGTTTTGGTGTCTGGATGTCTTTCGAGATGAAGAAGGGTAGTAGTTCTCGTTTAGTGATGAACTCTCTTTCTCCTTGAACCTCTTCAGCTCTTTTTTAAGATCACTGTTGAGAAGATGCTCACAGTACGCCTTATTGTCTTCAAAGGCAATGTATGTCTTCAAGAAAATGTTCTTATCCCTCTCCTTGTTCAAATCCATCTCGTTCATCATGTTCCTTAGAATAAGAGCACCCTTCTTCCTAAAGTGCCCTTTTACAAAATCCTCAAACCCCATGAGCGGCCGTTTCAGCATGTCCAGCATATGACGGCATGACTTGTTGGTGTTCATCATCACAATTTCTTCAATATGGAGAAACACATCAAATATGTTGTAAAGCAGTTTAGCTCTCAATCTCTTTTGTTTTCTAAGATTACTCAACGGAAGACCATATGAATGGTAGAAGAAACTCGGTGCTTGGTTTGGATACTCCTTAGGGAACTTAATGTCAAAAAATAACAAACTATGACTCTGGTCACCATTTGTCACAGTTGCAGCAACTCTCATCAGCTCTTTTCTTTCACTGTAAGTTCTCACACAGAAGCTCACTTCTTTGGAACCATCTTCACTACTCTTCTCCCACAAGGCTAGTTGTCTCTTTAGAATTCCCCACTCTCTCTCAACATTAACTTTTTTGCAGAAGCAAAAGCAAGAGGAGTAACAACACTTGTAGTTGTAGAAGTGGTGATCCACTGGAGCGCCTCCATCAACAGCTTCAAAGTTGTTGAATGTCTTGAAGTTTAAATCCACTTTGTCTCCCAACTCCATGATCTCTTTCTCAAAAATGTCAACTATGAAATAGTTGTTTTGTCCCAACTGAACCATATCACCAACTTTTTCTTCTTCTTCTTCTGGTCCCTGGTTTTGTCCCAACTGAACCATATCACCAACTTTTTCTTCTTCTTCTTCTTCTGGTCCCTGATTTTGTCCCAACTGAACCAAATCACCAACTTTTTCTTCTTCTTCTTCTGGTCCCTGATTAGACTCTAGTATACACTTTTGAGATCCATCTTCTATCTTTTCTATGGTAGAAACTGCCCAAACTTTCTCAGCACGTCTCATAAATCGATCAAGAGAATTTGACCTACATCGATCAGTAGAATTTGACCTAACCTGGCCTGCAAGTAGTAATCTAGATTTACTTGCTAGATCATCATCATCAGATTTAATCCTCATTACATCAATATCATTCGTCATGAATTTGTATGGATTTTCGAGGAGATTAGCAGTACCACTTATTATGATTTTGTTTACATGTTATGTTGTTCCTTATCTTAGTATTTATAAAGAAATTGTAAAAAAATGAAATTCATTTCCGTATAAAGATTAGAAATTGCATTCGTATAATTAAAAGATAACAATGATATCTGTTGTAGATTTTGTAAAGATAAGATTTTGCTTACGTGTTAAATATAAATTCCGTATATGATTTTGACAAATTTTTGTTATTATTTTGTCGGGTGTTTACTATTATATTATGTTTCTAATATCTCAGAAGATTTTTTTTTTCGATTTAGATTTAGATATGGTACTCAGCATTATATCTTCACTAGTTAAAACTCTTAACTTTTTTTAACGAAATTGATATAAAAAAGAAAAATGTTATTACTTAAAACGATGGAGCTGAATATGGTGAAAACTTAGGACCAAAAGTTAAGACTAAGTTATCAGGACGACATATGAATGACAAAGAATGGCAATGTCGAAAGCATCTCTCTTACTTCTTTTTTAATCCACAGAAAGAACTCTTTGCTACCTGATTAGCAGCTTTAAAACTTTGATCCTTCACATGTCACAAATTTTTTCTTCTTCTGATCCCCATTAGACTCATGTATAATTATTCAGATTCATGTTGTTTCTTTTCTATAGTAGAAACTGCGCAAACTTTTTCAGCATGTCTCCTAAATCGATCAACAGAATTTGACCTACGTCGATCAGTAGAATTTGATCTAACTTGGTCTGTTTGTAGTACTCTAGGATTACTTGTTATATCAACACCATATTCGCTCCGCATGACATTAATATCTTTCGTCATTATTTTCTATTGCATTTCACCGAGATTAGTAGTACCACTTATTATGATTTTGCTTCTCAAATTTTTTTGTTCTTCCTTATCTTAGTATTATAACGAAATTGTAATCAAATGAAATTCATCGCGTAAAGGATAAAAAAATTTCACTATGATAATTACAAGATAAAATTGAAATATGTTAAAGATTTTGTAAAAGATAAGATTTTTCATACGTGTTAAATATAGATAAGATTTTAATAATTTTGTTGCTATCCTTTTGAGTGCTTAAATAATTAAATTATGTTTCTAATATCTCAAGAATATTAAACTCAATTTTTTTTTCAATTTTAATTAAAATATGTTATTTTATATATTATAATGACTAATTAAAATTTAACTCACCAAATTGATGTAAAATATGTTATTACATAAAACGATGGTTGATGGAGATAAATATGAAGAAACTTAGGACCGAAAAATCTCTATAATATCACTAAGACGACAGTGACAGTGTCGAAATTATCTCTTTTTATTTCTCATTCTCTTCATGGTAAGAAATCTTTTTTATTCGATTTGCAGCTTTAAAACTTTGATCCTTCACATATCACCAACTTTTTATCTTCTGATCTCAATCTTGACTCATATATAAAATTTCGGGATTCATATTATTTCTTTTCTATAGTATAAAATGCCCAAATTTTCCATCACGTCTTCTAAATCGATCATTCGAAGTTGACCTTACCTGGTATGAAAATAGTACACTTAGGTTTACTTGCTAGATCATCATCATCGGATTCACTTCTCATTAGATCTATATTTTTATCATGATATTGTATCATATTTCATGAGATTAACAGTACCACTTATTAAGATTTGGCTTCTCTAATATTCTATATTTTTCTTATCTTAGTATTTATAAAAAATTGTAAGCAAATGAAATTCATGTCGTATAAAATAAGATTTCTATAGTAGAAATCACCCAAATTTTCTCATCACGTCTTCTAAATCGACCGGTCCAATTTGACCTAACCTGGTATGCAAATAGTACATTAGATTTACTTGCTAGATCATCATCATCAGATTCAATCCTCATTACGTAAATATCTTTCGTCATGATTTTGTATAATCTTTTACGAGACTAACAGTACCACTTATTATTATTTTTCTTCTCTCGAATATTGTATTATTTCTTATCTTAGCATTTATAACGCAATTGTAAGAAAATGAAATTCATGTCTTATAAGATAAATATTTTTTTCATTTTCATAATTAAGGATAACTTGTTGATCAAAAAATAATACTAATAGTTAAGGATAAAAATGAAATATGTTACAGATTCTTAAAAGATAAGATTTTGTTTGCGTGTTAAATATAAAATAGGAGTAAGAGTTTGATAATTTTTGTTAATATTTTTGGATACTTTACAATCAAATAAATTTTCACTTTTTTCAATTTGGATTTAAATATGGTATTTGATATCTTTGAGTTAGTTGCATTTAATAAAAACAGCTCTGTATGATTTTATACTGATATATAAAAAATATAAATCAGTATTTTTGGTTATTATTTGTATTGACGTATTATTTTGCTTATCTGAAATGTTTTGGTTTTCGTTATCTTAGTATCTTATAAACAAAGTTAATTAAACTAAATACCATGGATTCAGTTATAGATTTTTTAAAATAGATTTTTTAAAATAGATTTTTATGTTAAATATAAGGTAATTTAATAATTTTGTTAATATCTTTCTCGAGTGTTTATTTATATTGGCTGAAATGTATTTTCCCATTTCCTTTTCACTTTGGATTTAAATACGGCATTATGTCGATATCTCCGATTTAAATACGGTATTGATATTTCGATTTAAATATTGTATTGATATTCCTTTTTAAGTTATTTTTTTGTAAGAAACACTAATAGGTTCCACAATTTTAAAAATGGGTTAGTTCCTGCAGTGATTATTGGTAACAACAGATAGAAGAGCTGATCGTTGGATTCTGGCAAGAAGCACAACAGATAGAAGAGATGATCAAAACTCTTGACAAGAAACACAAAAGTATCTTGTGAAAAATAATGAGACGAACACTGTAAAGTGGAGCAGATTACTTCTCAACAACGCTCTTGTCATACAAATACTCAACGAATTCATCGATGAGGTATGGCCATGCTCCTTCTGCATCGTAATTCGACAAAGCTGGCTCCACCGTCTGCATCACAAACTACTATCTCAATCCATATATCAACACTAAAGCCATAGCTGCAATCACCACTATGTAAGCTCAAAAACACAACTGTATCTAATTTTTTTCTCTTACCCTTGCAAATTCCAGGAGCTGTTCCCATGTGTCCTTAGATATGGCCTTGTTATGACGATCCTGAATTTGATAAGCAACAAATTCAGGAATGTATCAGAAACAACCAAAATATATGGTAAGACCATGCTTTGATGATGAGTGTGTTACTTTACCTGCAAGAAATCACACCAGTGATTTAACAATGGCCACTCTCGTTCAGCAAAGAGCAGCTGCCACATCCCAATCGCTGTATCTAAAGCAAGAGACTTCTGCCCCTGAAAAACATTTTAAAGTTGTCTATAAGTCACTAGCACAGAGAAAACAACTCCTGAAACCAACTAGTTCAGATCAAAGCTTTTTATTACCTTCTCTTTCGCCCACCCAAAAGAAAAGTTGTATATTTCATGGAACTTTTCTGAACAAGATAATACACAAGGAAAACGTTACACATGTTACATGGAACTTCTTATAAGCCAAATCACAAAACAGGATGGCTTTTCAAAATTTGTTTCTTACGTTCATCTTTAAGCTCGGAACGCATAAATGACAGCTTCTCCTGCAACTTCTTGATGGAGTCTACTCTGCCATCAGAAAATTATTTCAAAGTGAAACTCCACACCAAAAAGATCACAGGACAGGCCACAACGTTACATTAAGACTAGAGTTCACTCACCCTAGTGCCTGTAATCCACCAACAAATTCTTCCTTGGAAAACTCACACGCTGTGGCAGCATTCATATGCCACGAAAGAACCAACTGAAAATGGAGTAGGTAGTACACATTTAACTAAAGGTTCAGAAGAAGAACAAGAAAACACACATACACACTAGAAAGTTGTAGGAAAAGGTTTTAGAATAAACATACCGTGACAATGTCTTGAGGTTCCACCTAGAGACAAAAGATTCAAATCAGTTGTTATTAATGCATCTAAAATAAACCAATATTCAACAAGATTAAAGTACCTGAAGATCACTACACAGAACCGAGATACCATCAGCTAGAATCATATCAGAATACTTGTCTGCAGAAAGTAACATAAAATTTATTTTCAAAAGGGGCACAAATGATATTCAAGAATGTCAAAACAAAAGTAGTTTGCCTGCCTTTATATCTATTATAAAGCTCCTCCAAACGTCTCATATCAGCATTGCTTCTAGGCTGTGGCTGGCTGTAAAACACATCAAAAGCTGCTTCAAGCTGCCAATCGGTGGCTTTAAGAGTCTGAAGAGCATTCTTCTCACTGCCAACATTATTAAACAAAGTCAAGAATGCTGCAAACGCGTTTGATCTTAAAGAACCAAAGAACAATGAACCAACAGTAAACTAAGATAGTATCGAGTTACCTAGCTCCTGTGATGGCCACGAACTGCTGAACTTTATCGCGGTTGGTTCTATTCAACTTATGCTGTGCACAAGGAGAGAAGGGATCATCATATGGTTACGTTAAAGTAACGAACTTTAGAGCGTTTCTATTCGAATTATCAAAACCCTAAAAGGCAAAGACATGAACAAAAGCTTAGATAAAGGAGAAAGCGCGTACCATTGTGTCAAGAATATGCAGACGAACAACCCCAGAAACAAGAACCCTAATAAGGTAATCGAAGAGAAGGGAGTGAGAGATGAGAGGAAGAAGACACGAGAGAGTCTCTCAAGATTGCTTTGAGCCTTTCTCACTTTCTTCTTGTCCCGTCTCTCTGTCTCTCTCTCTCTGCCTCTTCTGCAATCTCTGATGATGAATCTCTTTTTCATTATGTAAAGACTCGGTTTATCAAGTCGGTACAGTGTAAATTATATCGGTTTAATAAATTGGACCGGAACATTTCTATCTCCGTATTAATTTTCGGTTACCGCTACATTATTGTCTATGTTTTTGCTAATAAACCAGCTGGTTTATATATACAATATTTAAAAATTCTGGTTTAGTTGAAAATTCATAAATAGAAAGTGTATATTTTATCTTAATTACATTTGTCTCATGAAAAGTCAATTTTCTATAGTTTGTAATTATTTTGGAATTATCACAAAAACCTTTAGATTCACCAATCAATAATATTGTGTTATTTTATATTTAATATCTTTTAAAAAATAAAATAAAATATTGTCAATTTATATTATGTTTTTAAAATGGAAAGATAAATAAAATTTTTTAAAAAAATACTAGTAGTTGCCAAATTTTTTTTTTAATATTTTTAACACTATCCTTAAATCCTAAACATTTGAGTAAATCCTAAACCGTTGAATAAATTCTAAACACTAAATAAAAACACTAAAACTAAATCTTATAAACACTAAATCTTTAATCTTAACTTTTAAACTATTGGATAAATTTATGTTTTAGGTTTATGATTTATAGTGTTTTAGGTTTTAGATTTAGTGTTCATTATTTAGCGTTTAGTGTTTTATCAAAGGTGTTAAAAATATTTTAATTTTTTTAGCAACTATTACTATTTTATTTAGTTTATCAAGGGTTTATAGGTTAAGATTAAAAGTTTAGTGTTTTTTAATATTTAATATTTTTAATTTAGATTTGAGATTTAAAAGTTTAAGGTTTATCCCAGAGTTTAGAGATTAGGGTTTAAGATAGGGTTTAAGGTTTAGTCATTGATTACGTTGTTAAAAAATTTAAATTTTTTTTACACTGCTACTACTTTTTTATCTATTTATACTTTTTAAATTTCAAAAACATAATTTAAGTTGATAATATTTTGTTTCCTGTTTTAAAAGATATCAAATTTGAAATAATCCAAGGATAAATTCTATTTTTTAAGAGAAATGGCAATATGTTCGTGAGTAAATCAATGGGGGCAACGTAAGACATCACACGTGGTTGTTGATGGATCATTCAATTGCCAGCAGGCCTGATAGCCAGATGAGACACACGAGAAGATTGATAATTTAAGTCTGAAAGGTCTCAGGCAGATGATTGCTTGACTTGGAGTTTCATGCTTGGACAAGATGGTTTGCCAAGAATGCTTGCATTATAGTTCCTACATGAACTCTATTCTCGTTCCTTTATTATGACGAGTCTTTGTTAATAACCTAACGTTATACATTTATCAAAGAGACCATAAAGCCACTCATAGCTGCATCTTCTCTCGTAAGCATCAACTCTATACCTACCTTCATTTGAATACTTTTGATACAGTTCTGACAAATGTTATGTATAGGCAGAGTTACAGTTCAAGTCTACGGTGATAATGGCAACATTTTTCTCAGTGACCGCACCTTTGGGGATACGAATAGGATGGTGATGTCGTGTGGTTTAGGCTACGGGAAAGAGAGAAAAGAGGCAGTAATGTTTGAACGCTGCATCAGCTGGTATACTCATTTACATGTCACCTGTTGATCTTGCTCCTGAGTTCTACCTTCTTCAACCCAAGACTGCAGTTCTAACCTCTGGCTTCACTTGGCTGCTTTTCTTTCTTTCCTCCTCGGCGCTACTTCCATGTCTCTCCTCGCCATTTGGGTGTAACTAGTTGATTCCACAGCTAACAAACAAACTAGCACAACAAGCAGCTCTTTCTCTAGAATCTGTAATGGTGTTTCTCATCTATGAATCATATACTATTCTACTTTGAACGCAGTGAACTGCTTTTTGATAGAGACTAACAATAGTCATAGGCAGAGAGACGCCAGCTGTAATATGAATGGAGGAGAAAACGGAGGTAATGCAAAATGATAGGAAACATGAATCATATTCATTTCTATGTAATGGTAACAATTTTTCAACTGTTTACATCATGCATTTCACATCTATAAAATACAGATCAATGAACAAAAAAAATGAAATACAGATCATAACTTAGTATTTGGTTGATATTACAATCATGGATAAAGAGATTTACATACTCAGATGATGTATACAGAGTCTTTGTTTACCGACCTCCTCCTGGTATTCTGTTCCATGACAAGTAAGTAGGATCTCCAAGTCGCCTGTAAAAAAACACCCCAACACCAAATCAAACATCTGTAATAATAGCCAAGGATAAGAATCATAGGATATATATGTATGTGTATAATACCTTGGTTTCACAAGGTACATGATGGTAAATGCAAGTGCCAAGAAGAAACAGATTCCTCCAACTGTGAGGTAAGCAATGCCAAGGAAGTCATTCTTCCCACCAAGCCAGCTAGTTGTAGACAAAACAAGCTTCTTCTTCCCATCAAAACTGTATGTGTTGTAGTTGTTCTCAAGAATCACTGTTATGGTATCATTCTCCTGGAGGTCAGTCTCTATCTTCCCATATAGTTTTCTAAATGTTGGCAAAGCTGCAGTCCTCATCCACACAATCAAATCCTCTTGATCACTCAGCTGAATCAATCACCATAAGAGATTGCTAAGTCCTCAAGTGTTTTTCAAAGGATATGAGTTAAGTTTTGAGACTCTACTTACCGGTATATTTGGATTTAGTCTGCCACCACCGGTGATATTACCCATCTGAAAGTTCTTGGGAAACACATTTTTACCAAACTTGTGTTCCCTGTCACTCTTCCAAGCAATTCCTCTCTTGCTTACGTTCAGAGGCTGGTTGTTTTTAGATAAAGTGTATGTGTCATTGAAGAGACTCCAAGCAATTAGACCACACGGCACAATCGGCTGTCCGTTAAAATCATCTTCAGGCTTGCATGCGTCTATTTGATTCTCATCTCTAACACTTCTCAACTGCGCATCGCTTCTGCTTTTCACATACCTAACGAAAACACCAATGCGAGAATGAGATTTAAGCAATCTATGTCTCATGAAGTTCACTAAAAAAGGGTCAGAGTTTACCTGCGGTGGTTCTGGTAGAAGTTCTCAAGCTCGTAATAAACGTAGATAGGCTGCTTCATCTTCTTAGGAACCTGACAAAAAATTAGAAAGTAAACAAAGGTTAACCATTGTCTCAAAGAATGAAACAGTGTTGTTCTTGTTGTTGCGTAGGAAACTCACAGTTATTGTCCGGCTACAAGTTTTATTTGCAGCTCCTTGTATGTATGCAACTTTGTCACCCCTATCAGGCGGTGGTATGCAAGCATTATCATACCGATCAACGATCTCAACAACCTATAACATAAGAAAATGAAACATGTAAGATACAGAAACACAGGATAAAAATGAAGAGCAAGATCATCGAATCTTACGTCTTGGGAAGCGAAAAGAGACACAACTCCGAGAGGAATGAAGATAACACTAATGACCAAAAACGTCAAAATAACCTGCAAAAAAATGATACCCATAAGGAAAGTTCAAACCTTTCTCAAAGAAAACAAACTGCAGAATGAGAATGAGAGATTTTACCCAACCAGGTGTAAGAATGGGCTTGCAAGCTGGAAGCTCTTGCTGTGTAAACTTTGAATCTGCAAATCAAATCATTAGATTAGAGAGAGAAAAGAGTCATCTTTTAGCTTATAACGTTCTTGATTCCTAGATAAAGTTCAATTCTTTTTATCGAGAAAGTAAAAACCGTAATAGTAATCCTAGTGATCACACTATTGAGAAGACATTAGCTAAGATTCTAGCAAGAAGCAACAAGATCGAACATAGTTGGAACAAAGGGTCAACGAGGAAACAGAGGAAGAAGAGTACATACACTTAGGTCGTTTTGAATTTCTCCGGGAGGTGGAAGAATCTGCAGATCCGGCAGCGGCGGAGCTGGACGATGCTGTATTGGAAGGCATAGCTGATAAAAAAAAAAAAAAAAGGAGAGATCTTTTTAGGAAGAGAGAAGGATATAGAGAGAATGAGGAGAACGTGATTAGCAGCAAGATGAAAAAGGAAGACTGGTCGTACTCGTCGTGGTCAAACACGACGGCTTAAAGTCCCATTCTAAATCTAGAACGAGTAAAAAAAAAACGAAGCTTCGTAGAGATTTGATGACGTGTCATGCCAATTGGTTAAGTCTATAAATGCCAAGAGTGGGTAACGAAAGATGACGAATCTTTTTTTTTAAAACACATTAGATTGATACAGTCTCCACGATCATACAGAAAAAAAAAATCAAATAACACAAGGATAAGTATAAGGTCCCATGTAATAATAAAGCTAGAGTTAAATATATTGCAAAAGCTTCACATCCTCAACATGGTTTAGAGAGATGTGAACTCTAGTACGATACTTAAACGCATCCATCCCTTGGATTTCAACTCTTCTAATTGCATTGCTCTCCATGTTGTAGTAGTAAACATAGAAACATAAAGGCTCATCCACAAACTGCGGCGACAACACGATTTCATCTGCACCAGCCAATCCAACAAAGAATAACTTGGCCTCCCCAACTATACTCTTCCATAACGGAGGCAGCGAAATGGATACATGCTTCGACCATTTATCAACATCTACCAAAACCCACAACTCAAAACATTTGGTTTCTCCACTGACTTCACTAAACCCTCCAGACAAAAGCGCACCTAGATTACCCTTGTAGTTTACAAGAGTTGATTGAGCATTTTTCACACTCTCTCTCTTCAAACTAAGCACCCTTCTCCTTCTAAGCATCTCCCTAAGTACCCTTGGATAAACATGCTCTTAGTGCCATCTCCTCAGCTTTGTTAATAATTTTGAATTGCTCAGACCTAACATCAAAACACATCATAGCAATTGAATATGGACCCTCATTGACTAAGGCTACATAATATATAACTCCGTTGATGCATATCCCATCGTTTTCAAGATAAAAATGCCGTATCGAACATTCGATCTTTCTCCAAGAAAGTTTCCGAGCACCTAAAGTCAGAACTCTATACCCTTCGATAATTGCATAATCCCTAGCGGTCATGGACAATATCTTGAACTGCTTGTCAATCGGGTCAAACCCGAGAAAACTATGGACCAGAACATTCTTGGTCTTCACGTTGGGTAAAGATAAAGATTGTCCCGTGCTAGGGTTACATATCATTGGAACTGTTTTCTTGTACTTACCAATATGTGTGAAACAGACTGAACCGCCGAGAGAACCAAGATTATTAGAGTAGTGTGTGCATGGCAACCTCATGAGATAATTGGCCGCTATAACGTCCGGCTTTTGAACTTGAGGTATCGAGAAAAAGAAGAGCTCACCGTCTTTTACGCAGGAGAACAAGATTTGCGGACGAGATCGAGACCTGGTGATGAACAGCTCCGTGAAATATGTACCGTTGAGTGTAGAAGCCCAAAACTTGGATACACTGCGACATTTCGCTATGGACTTCGCGGGCAATCTCAAGAGTATTTCGATAAGGAGATCGATTGGGATTGTGTCTGAGTTTTTAAGAGTATTGCGTCGGGATATTGTTAGGGCATCTTCAGCGGCTTGCTGTCGCCGTGTTTTCATCGCTAGTAGTGCTTTCAAACCCTAAGATGACAGAATCTGTGCATGTCAAATGTCGTGTTTGGAAGTAAGAGGAACACGAGATAACTTCACCGTGTAGTCATTCGAGAAGATGTCATGGGCCGTCTGCAGTAGATCATTGTCATTTTTACCACTGCCTTGGTCCTTCAAAGCTGCTTCATAGCTTCCCACGAACTTACACACCTCTGCATTTACTCTTCCCCACCTCTGCTTACACTGACTCTACTCTCTTGGAGTGTTGCCACTCAGCTGAGGGCTTGAATTGAAATACTCTTCAATTCTCTTCCAAAACGCTCCTGCCTTCTGCTCATTACCCACTATGGGATCCTTGCTGGTGTTTAACCAAGCACTAATGAGCACAAGGTCTTCTCTAGTTGACCACTTCCTCTTCAAAGGCGATGGTTTCACTACCCCCGGAGAGCTAGCCTCACCATACTCTAAGTCTATTGGTGGACTGATCTGAGAGGCTAGAAGGTTAACAAACCCGGGAGAGTTTAGGGAGAAAGGATTCATTTGGTTTAGGGTTTACGTTTGTGTTTTTAAGTTTAAGTGATTTTTAGAAGTTGGTCGAATCTGTTTTTGTACTAGAAGAGAGAGTTAATGAAATTTATTTTGTTGGTGAGTTTAGTTGAAACTTAACTTCTACGAGTTAATTAAAATCTACTAACACCAAGCATTCAATACACATCAACTCAGTAGGGAAAATATTTAAGTTATGTAATTTTTAGTCCTATTTTCAAGTCTACTTCGTACTACCATCAGAGATTTAATGTGATTTTTAATCCTACTTTCGACTCTACTTCGTACTACCATCAGAGAGTTAATGTGATTTTTAGTTCTACTTTCAAGTCTACATTAAGCAAAAGAGGCACACAGCAACCAACCAACAAATACAATTAATGAAAATTTATTCAGTTCAAGAATACTTTTAAGTCTACCTACCCGTCTACTTTTAAGTCTACTATACTTCACTTAACCAACCAACAGATAGAATTATGATTCATAATTCAAATGAGAACATCTGACTTTTACCTTCTGGTTTCAGTCGAAGCAGAGCCTCTCGAGGTCAGCCATGCGCACGGTGAGGTACTCTACCTGCTCAGACAGGTTTTTAACCTGCTCCTGCATACTCATACGAAAAGGAACATGTATTAATGACAAAAAATTGAACTAATAACTATACAAACAAACACACAAATGTACTTAACTAACCTCCAAGAATTCAATCTGTTTGTTCATAGTCGGGATACACTTGATCACCTGCTCAACATCCTCCACACGCTTAGTCAGCTTCTCGATCTCCTCTTGAACACCATGTACCCAAGGCTGGCGATAATGTAACCCATCACCCTGTTACCAACATATAAACAAAGAAGTTAGAACCTTAATTACAATTAATAGTCATGAAAGAACATATTCGAATTTACTACATTACCTTGTAGTTTATGCATACAAAGAACCGCTTCCCAGGACGACTATCATAGTCATCCATCCCCCGCACTTGGTCAACTATCCTGCCACCACAAGGACACCTTCGGGGAATACCATACTCAGAATCGGCCACGTATCCTAGAGTCTCGTAATACTCTTTTTGCCTCTTTCTTCCTCTTGTCTCTTCTGCAGGATCCATCTGTCGTAGTCAAACAAGTTATTAAGCAAACAAGTTAGACAAATCAGTTATTGAATAATGAAATTAGACTAAATCGAAACAACTTTACAATTTAAAACCTTTATTGGAAACCCCCAACCCGATTATTGAACCCTAGAACGAAAGCCCCAAATGAAGACTAAACCCTAAATCGAAAACACTACTCGATTGCAAATCCCCGAGTAAAGAACCCTAAATTGAACCCCCAAGACGATTTATAACCTTTATTGGAAACCCCCAACCCGATTAGTGAACCCTAGAACGAAAGCCCCAAATGAAGACTAAACCCTAAATTGAAAACAATACTCGATTGCAAATCCCCGACTAAATAACCCTAAATAGAACCCCCAAGACGGTTTAGAACCTTCAGACGAAGCCCCCTACACGATTATTGAACCCTAGATGAAAAGCCCCAAATCGATTTAACTTCCCCGAGATCGATTTCAACCCCAAAACCCGTAAAAGAAACCGTGAATCTACTAGAAGCTCACCTGACTTCGTCGAGGAGAAGGTTCGACGTCGATTGAATGGGCTGAATCACCGGTTTCGCCTTCGGACATGAAATCGCCTCCGAGGTCTCGAAACCCTAGCTTTGGGAGAAAGAGGAGCAAATGAAAAGAAAAAAACACGATACCTCTTTTCTTCGTCAACACGAGCCGCGGGATAAGCCAATCAAGGCGCAACACGTGGCGTGAACTCCTCTCCCCGGGGTTCAGTAGAGTGAACCGGATCACGCGAATTTACCCATTTTGCATTTATTTTTAAGCCCAAAATCCTCTGAACTCGAGCCCATGAACCTGTTATGAAGCTTTGTTGTGGATGCTCTAAAAAAGAATGAAGAGCCCTAGAAAATATGGGCCTAAATCGTTTGGGCCTTATATCTATTGGATTATGTTTGAATCGTTTTTTCTAATTAGCCTCATCAAGACGGTTTATCAATTTTCTTGGACACTTTATGAAACCCGAACCGACCCAAAAAAACTGGTCGACACTTTACGGATAATGCCTTTTCACGGCACGGCCCATTGAGTCTTGTTGCGGAGGATCCGTGGGTCTTAGATTCAACCCGACACGAACTGGAGACCCGATATAATATCCAAATACTCAAAACTTTTAATATTTACTAAGTATATGAGGGTATATAGGTATGTTTTTGATATTACAAATATTTTAAAAAATTTCGAGTTTGAATTTTTGAGTATAGTTTTGAGTTTCGGTTAAATTTTTAGATTTTTTAAATTAAAGTTCGGCAATTGAATAAAATTTTGGATAATTTTTCATGTTTTTAAATCAGAATTTAGGTAAAATTTCGGATATTTTTCTCCCAAGAATTCCTAAAAAGATTTAGAAAGATAAATACTTTTCTATAACGAGCTCAAGTCTATGTACAAATATTTCTGGGTTGCTTTGTCTTTAAATTACCTCTTAATCATCATCCCAAACTCACTATTCAACAAGGTTGCTCTATAATACTGAACAGAGGTGTACAACAAGTGTCATATATTACAAATTTGATAACAAACATGTTTATTCGTTCCCTAACAATCAACAAACAATCTTTGCCAATTAATCAAAGTAATACTCACACAAAAAGAGAAACAAGCAGCTAAAGACATGAAGAAGGAGCAAAAGACAAAGTTGAGGCCACAACATCAAACTCCCACAAATAATTCTGCTGCATTATGTTCCCAACGACATTAGTCGCCGGTGTTCCCGCAGATACAAACCCTAAACACTTGACTCCATGCGCAACATCCACTACATAACTTCTACGATGCGGCTCAAAACGTGCACCACCCTTGAAATGAAATATCAACTGCGGCAGCTTGGTCTCGTTGAACCCGGAAGTGACATCAAAACAATACTCTATTGGTATTCCTTCTGGTTTAACTCTCTTGAGTCCCATAAGGTAACGCTCGAGCCCTGAAACCACCCGCTTGTACGCGGCTTCAGCCAACAACGTGAGGCTAGTTCCTGAGTCCAAGATTGTCCCACCACCGCTTGTTGCGTCCCATACTTGCGGAGGGATGTCAAGCATGTCATCACCGAGTGAGATTCCAATGATGTCGATGGCGTAGAAGGGAGGAATGAGATTGAGATCAAGAGTGGTGGTTCGTGTTGTGATGGTTTTGGTGGTTGAGCCGAAGATTAGATAGCTAGAGACGTTCTTGTGGGAGCGATGGTCAACGAGGCAGTATGAAAATTTGCCACCGAAGAGATTAGTGGCTTTGGAAGTGAAGGAGTAATCACTCAATGCGAGACCTAGAACCCCATCGGCTCCTTGGAAGCTATCTCCGTTGAAAGAGCTGCTGCAACCTATGAGGAGGCCATGGAGTCTAGCTACACGACCGTTGGTGAGACCAACTGTGATTGTCTCCTTTGCGAATACTCCTTGTGCTGCTGACCCGTCCGCGTATCTGATATTAGTATCAGTAACATAGATTAATGAAAAAAAAAACATAGATTAATGAATTTGGATTAGGGTTAATGACAATAAGAGATGCTAGAATTTATGTATGGCTCAAACGCCAAACCTAACTTACAAGTCATGCAATAAAGTGACATTTATGTAATGTGATGAATTGTAGCTCAAGACACATTTAATTTCACGCCCTCTCCTTACATACACTTGCATCTAAACTAAATCTCTGGCTTCTCTAAAGAGTTGGGGAAAGTAGAGACAATGATATGGTGACAAGAGAGACAGGTCCCTCTCTTCTCTCATTGATGACCACCCAACTTTCTCTAATATCTTCTCTCCAAAACACACAATTCCTTAAAATAGTAAATTGTGTTATGTAATAATGAATGTAACTTCAACTCCGTCATCATGCATCACTTCCTCTTTAGTATATAATATAATTAGTTTCAAATTAGTTGTTTTTGTTATAAACAAATGTCGTTTTATAAACATAATATATTTTTTTAATTTTTTATGTATTTTATTTTTAATTTGATTATTTAAAATAATAAATGCTATAAAATTTTAGTAGTTAAATAAAGGTACAATTGAATATTTAATTATGTTTTTAATTGTGTAAAAAATATTTAAACCATGTCGAGTAAGTCATGCATATAATCCTTAATTAACTCCGGATTAGACTCTACCTAATCTGTTGTTGATTATTCGATAATGCATTCACCACCATCAAGAGAGAGATGAACTACCTACCTATAATCATATGAGCATGGAGTTGTAGGATTAGGACAACTCGAGAGTGAGAAGAGATTCACGAGATCAACTTTACAAGTCTGAGTCAAACATCCAACTTGTCTGAAACTCGAAGACTCTTCTGCTCTAAACACTCGACGTTTCTTCAATTTCCCTTTCCCTTTTCCTTTCCCACGGAACATGCAGTTCACCCAAGTCAGCTCGCTCCCTGTGTCCACAACCACCCTGAACCTCTTCGCCGGCGTTCCAACTCTGACGTCAGCGAAGTACTGTGCCGCTCCGTAGTCGAAACCCGATCTCAATGCTAGTTTGGCTCCTTCTTTCTTAGTTTTGCGTTTTTGAGATATTAGGTTGTGACGTTTATGGTCATCGCTGATAATGTCTTCAATGCGATGGAAAGATGTTGGGAAGAGAGTGTCCCGGTGTGACATTTTGAGACGCATTACCGTATCTTCGGTGGAATCTGCGGCGGCGATAAGGAAGGTGGTGATGAGACACAAGAGTGATCTCGTCCTCTTCATCTCTTGTTTTATTTTTTTTGTTGCCCCTGCACGGTTCTGTTTCTAAAACAGAGTATTTATATACATCGTGATGAGACACAAGAGCTCTCTCTCTCTCTATCTATCTCTATCGTAGTTTATTGGTTTTTATTATCTGGTTTCTCATTTTTGTGCAGTGACAAAAAAAAAAAGTTTCTCATTTTTGTAAAAAACTACTATTTTCAATCTACACTGTATTTATTTATAAAATTTTAGAACATACATTATTGTTATATTATTGAAAATCCAAAATTAAAACACACAAACTCTAAAAAAACAAAATCTAAAAAAAAACTTTATTAAAGTTACAAACATCTTTAGTATATTAAAAGTAAACATCTGAGGCCTCAGAACCATGTTTTCTCAGTATTTTTGGCAATGATATGAACTCTTATCAAGCCAAATGCAATAGATGCTAATATTAAATATTATATATATATATATATATTTATTTATTTATTTATTTATTTATTTGATAAGTATTAAATATGCTGTTCGATTACTTCCAAAATCTGATTAATTTGCGGAACTATTTATGCAAGTTGTCTATGCCCGAATTGTTCACATTTATTCCAAAACGTATATTTCCTTTTCTATTTATAACACTTATATTCATTGACATTAATTCAAATAGTATCTTTAAGACTTTAACCAACACTAAGACAAAAAAAATCAACACCAAAAGGAAATTAATTTATAAGAATATAATCTCATATCAAAGTTAATAAAAATGCTTAATTCCACTCATTTTCATCTATTATTTCAAGAAATCGTTTGGCATGACTGACCAATGAGAGTAGGTATACGAAATGTTTGTATGGATGGATAGACGTGAGGAGAAGAGTCCAGGGGCAGTGGGTCAATGTCACAAGGCCGAGAGAAAGATTTAGAGCTGTCTTAACGTCACTGGTCGCCTGATGCACCCTTGGATTCTTCTAAAATCATTAGATTTTATATTCATCCGTTCAAATTTTAAACTAATAACTGAATTATATGAGAGAGAGACACTCACACACACACATACAAATTCACAAAACATGACAAAACATATTTTGGAACATCCAAATGGAGAGCGATGCGTGTACAGTATGATGCGTTGAATAACAATCCAAGCCACAGCATTGTGATCAGTTGAATATCGTCCACTTTATTGTTTTCAGTTATATGGTATTGTATTTGATATACATAGGTATATCAAACAAACAGTGAGATTTACTTCTTAATAAAGCTATAAATAGATAGTAGAAAATCCTAACTGCTCAGGAAAATATGTAACGAACGACAAAGACAGTGGAGGAAGAGAGATTAATTCAAGCTGCCAGTTTGCACTCAATAATTATATAATTATAAGTTATGAAAATCTTAAGGTGACGACAAGAAAAATAATTCAAAACAACCCTGAAAGAACACCACGCACGCACTCCTACTTGCATGATCTTATAACTCGCCATATATATGCTCATAGCAATTGAAAGCAAACCGTTGTGTAGCTTTAGGGTACTGCATGGCGCGGCATCTCATTTCTTTTGTTTAATACAGGGAGGCATTACAGGGTTGAAATTTCTAAACTGAGTTTTTATTTGCTTTATAAAGTCACGGGTCTCTTCGGTGATTTAAATAAAACCAAATGTACATATGTAACACTTACAAGTAACACGAAAACTCACTTTTGTTTTTAACTAGTTCTGGTAAAATGTATGATGTGTCCACGACAAAATTGTATTATATGTGTAGATATTTTTTTTATTAAAGGGACGTCTAGATTAGTTGTTAACTAGCTATATCAAAAGGAAGTCTTGATTAGTAGTATTATTTATGAGAAGGCCTAATGAATTGACAGGATGGATATCATAAAAGGAACAAAGGCCGGTGTTGATTCTCCGCCGCAAGTATAGAAAAAACGACTCACCCTTTATAACTAGCCATGTGAACTTAGTTTTTTTGTTCGGTAGTCATTAATACCATTTTCTGGAGCTATTTGATTATGATAAACGTGAAATGAATTGGCCAGAAGTAAATGCTGAATAAACAAATACGAGTATTAATAATCTCTTATCACTGGTACTCGAGCTTAGAGGTTTGATCCCTTTTTCGTTGGGAACAATTACAAACATGTAATTTTGTTTATTAAAAGGATGAAAACATTTTCAAAGTTTCTACGATCACATAAGGGTAACATAGTTGATGGTCTCCAAAAAAAAGACATAGTCGATTGTCTGATTTATGTTACAATGGGCGCCAAACGGTTTCGACTTATTCATATTGAATTACACAAACCTTCTTTTTATTAGCAACATGATCTGAGCTGTTTTATAAGAAAGAAAAGATAGCTACAGGTTCGAGCATTCGTATGACATGAAATATCAACTGCATGATTATCATAAACTCTGCTAGACTAATAATATCGCAGTCGTTAATAGAGGCCCGTGTTTTAGTTTATATGTGTGTGGACTATGGACACACGTCAGAAGAAGAATGAGAGTATTTTATGCTCACATATTTGTCTTTGGTTTTTATTCATCCGAGTATCTCAAGCTTATGGAAAAAATGAAAACTGATATCCAAGAAAAGGTGTATCCCATACATACACTTATTCCGGGTATTCAAATAAGGTCTAAAAAACAATTTCATAATTATATGATTACAAGATGAACTGTACGTCATAGGATGCCTTTAACTCAATTTACTTCCTTTCTCAAAGTCTACCTACCAGCAAATCACCACCTTGTGGTTATACTCACATCTTTGTTAATTAAGAGTATTTCTTCACAGTATTTTTTTCTTTGAAATATAATTTAAAGAAAGAAGTATTCTAGCCACAATTAATTTTCGTTGTATTTTAAAGTAAAAACTAGATTTTCACCCGCGCTTTTAAAGCGCGGGTATATTTTTACCATTTTGATAAAATTTATTTAAATTAATTATTCAAACACAAAAATTTTAAAATTGTTTTATTAATATTTAAAAAGTTCTATTATAATGTTTGATTTTCACGTAATGTTTCCATATCCGACTCAGATCCATAGTTGAACCGGTACATCTGACAATTTTTATATAATCCAGTTAAGATTTAATTAAAAATTTACTAATTAAAAATTTAAGCCAACCCGGTATATATCTTAAAACCCGCTATTAATATGTATTATGATATCCGTTGATTCGTTAAATAACCCCATAAAAATGATAATGTAGTTTTAAAAATTTGTTAAATAATTCATATTTTTAATATTAAAGAAAATGGATTTTTTGTAATTTCTTTAATTAAAACTTTCTTGTCATTTGAAAAAATGAAACAATGGCAATAGAAAAAGAAATACAATTTATTCATATAACAATATTAGTTTCTTTTCGTTATTAATAACCTATGATAAGTTTACATTTTTACTCATTTTATATCTAAAATTTGGTTTTTAAAAAAATTTGAATTGACCTATCATTATTATGGATAAAATGAAATAGTAAATAATAATTTATAACTTTTGCTCGCTAAATAATATGATGCACGGAAATATGATATTAAAATTAAATAGAAAATCATAATTTTCATAAAAGGAAAATTATTATTAATCACAAAAATAGAAAATATTATCAGTTACCATAAATATAGGAGATATTGCCTTGTTTAATTAATTAAGATTCTAAAAATAAATAATGGTATTATCTTATAAATGTGATCAAAATGTAGGGGTAGAATCCAAAATTTTAACAATAGGATCCTGCTTTAATAGTATAGATGCGTTTATTTATAAATAAATTTAATATTTATAGTTTGTTCATTATTCTGTTTTGATGCTAACATAGAATATCATTAGAGTAAAACTTCCTTCTATTTGAACAAAAAAAAAACTTACTTCTATTATAGAAGTCTTATATTTTGGAAAAAAAACGTAGAATGATCCGATCCTTAGAGTGTACATAAAAACGTATCATACAAGGAAAGGAGAAGAGGGTGTGTACATTCAACTACATTGTAATTCTATCATGACATCACCCATGCCCCGCCATTTGCTTAATTTACGGATCATATATCTATCTTATAAATTGTCTTTTTTTGTATATATCTCTTTGACCTTATTCACAAACACAACTCATATTTCTATTCCCCTCATCATCTAATTTGGAGAAAAACGTTCCACTTGGTCAGTGTGCCAATTTGCTTATACAAATATATCAGAAAATAGTTTTTCATTCAAATGGATAAATTAACAAGATTTTTATTTTGGCAAAAAAATAAAATAGCAGAAAGAACAAAGTATTTAGTCTGTACCACAGTGGATAAATAACAAGATTTTTACATTTCATTCTTTGTTGTATGTTGTTCCTCGGTTTCTGGCGGCAGTTTCTTTAGTTTTGACATGATTTGATTTTCTCATCTCAGGTAAAATGCAATTTATGTTTTTTGTTGTTGTAAAAGTATGTAATTTTAATGTTTCTAACGCTTTTATGTGACTTTAAACAACTATCTTAAGGTGAATGTCATTGATGCCACAGGTGAGAACACCAAGAATAACAGCTCCAAGGAGATATAGACCACCATATTGTAAAACCTAAGTCACCTCGACTTTCACTTAAATTAGGAGACAATGTTCCTAGGAACCCTAGGGAAAATAGATCCTCTCGTCAGACATCAACCCTTAAAATCTCCTGAACATTCCACCACAACTAGAGGGACCAACGATGGTGATTTAAATGCTCCTAATAATCTTCATTATGATCCCAAGAAGGTTGTTCCTATCACCGCATCTAAACACACTCCCACCAAGCGCTAGAACTCATCAACATGACAAGACAAAGTCTTCAGGCAACGAAAGAGCTCCTAGACATAACGCAGACTATACCTACAGTGATAACTTGTTGGGACCATCAGCTACACCTTTCAAGCCTCAGTTGCTAAGAGGTTTAATCAAAGTAGAACATGTTACAGTCTGGAGCGCTTTCAGTAACTTATCCTCAAAGACCTGGACAAGCAGAATGCGACGTGAGTATTCTTGTCTAGTATCAAAGTTTATTAGGAGATCACCTAAAATATATTTTTGTGTAATTATTAGGGAAGTTAACATTAATGCGTAAGTTAGAATTTCTATTCTATTATGTAAAGAACCTGCTAGACAAATTATATATTTTGTATAAATAAATCTAAGTAAGTTAATAAAATGAGAGAAACTGTTCTACTTCTATGTTTCCTCCAAACATGATAAAGTTGTTGACATGTTAGTTGGAGTTTTACCAAAAGCCCTTTCTATCTTTAGCATGTTGTAGTACTACATGAACAGAGCCGTGCTTCCTTCATGCCAAAAGAAACATTAGCCTAGAGCATCACTTTGAACAATAACACTTTTTTAATTGGTAAGATTGGAAAATAACATTTAATAATATGTATTTAAGTAATTACTAACTTAACTAATAAAAATATTATGAGCTTAAGTTTAAGATGCTAAAATGTCAAATATATGCCATAACAGAAAAGTTAATTAGTCCATTATTAGTTTAGTAATGAAGAGCTCTTAAAACAATTTGTTAATCTTACAACAAAAAGTTAGCAGTAACAAAAGAACATAACACTATCGTCGACTTACCATCATTTTCTACTATGATCACTTTCAAAAATTGAATATTTATATTGACAAAAAATTTCATCTCACTTTTTCTCACCAATCATTATAATTAACTTCCTTCCAATTATTTTATTATTTAGTTTTATTTGCTTGAATTTTTTTATATGGTTTGCATAATCGTGAATAATAATCATAGTCTTATATACTGATAGAAAGATGTTAGTTTAGATTGCATTTGTTGGAAAGAAATTTTCAAAACTGAAATTGATAAAATCTTATACGCAATCAAGTATATCCTAAGGAAAATTAAGTGGCTTAGCTATCTTATCTATTGAAAAACAAAATTTAAATATTGATTTTTGAATTCTAGTTAATGAATTTGTAGAAAAAAACTAAAAGGTGTTTAAAAGTATTATTTTGTTTGTTATTTTTTAATAACAATAATATTTGGAAGATATTTTTTTTATGAATGAAGATGTATATATACTTTTATCGCTTATGTACATAACTTGTGCTCACACGGCTCTGTACATGAAGACATGGGAGTACAACAACCAAACAAGCTTCTCAGCAATCGTATGTTAAGCTGAGTATTGCAGGGTTTCCCGAGGTACCTTTATACAACTTGCTTTGCTTGTATTTGAGTTTGCGTGCTAATCCAATCGATAAATAAAAAAAATTGTTGCTGGGTGCGCTTAATTGCACTTACTACATGCAGACATGGACTTGCATGTACGGGGCAACATGTAAGTTTGACTATCCTCTTCCAGGTGAAGTGATGGCTAAAACCATTTCAGAAGCTGATGTTGGTGTAGGAACTGACACAATGAGGTAGTATGCTTTGTGTAAAGATAAAAAGAGTTGTAATCTTATCTTAATTCTGATGCTGGAACAATGTCTCCGTTTGAGCATGGAGAAGTATTTGTATTAGATGATGGTGGAGAGGTATGTTAGATTATGATTATGTCCTCTCCTCTATTCGATGCATTATTGTATCTAACAAGTGAAAACATTTTAGGTGGACTTGGACCTTGGAAACTATGAGCGGTTTTTAGACAGTACATTGACCCGTGACAACAATTTAACAACCGGAAAGATATACCAACAGTGTCTACTACCTCAATACTAGCTATCTCATTCTCATGTTAGAATCAGGTGATAAAGTTTTAGCCTTGATTTTTGCAGTCAGTTATTGACAAAGAAAGGAAAGGAGACTACCTCGGAAAAACTGTACAGTTCATACGTTATCCACTTGTGCTCTTAACTTCCTCTGAGTATAACCTGATAGAGTGTTTGAACAAAGGTTTTAGTTTTCTTTAAGGTGGTTCCGCATGTTACTGATGCAATTCAAGAGTGGATTGAGAGAGTAGCTAATGTTCGTGTTGATGGAAAGGAAGGTTCTCCTGATGTCTGTGTTATTGAATTAGGCGGGACTATAGGTACTGTTTTCTGGCTTATATAACCTCTCCTGACATTTTTGTTTCAGAAGAGTGGCGTTTGTTTATTTATGTTTATGTGCAGGTCATATTGAATCTATGCCCTTCATTGAGGCCCTTGGTCAATTCTCTTATAAAGCAGGTGAGCTGTGCACAAAGTTTGTATTAACTTTTGAAGTTACTTGTTATCAGCTCCATCACCTTCTATATCTTGTTCTTAGGACCTGATAATTTCTTCTTGGTTCATGTGAGCCTTGTACATGTTCTCAGTGTTGTTGGTGAACATGTAATTTTCTTTCTATGGTTTGGATATTTTCCATGGAGATTCTATTTTTATTGATTTGTAACAGTTGAGGTATTAACAACATCTCTTATGCAACAGAAGACAAAGCCAACCCAGCATAGTGTGCGAGGACTCAGGAGCCTTGGTTTGACACCTAATATCCTAGCATGTCGCAGCACAAAGGTAATGGACTCTCCACTATTTTATGTGTGCTGTAGTGTTAACGATTAGCCATGGATTCTTGGTTTTTCATCTTATCAGTTCTTGTTTTGTAATAGGCACTTGAAGACAATGTCAAGACAAAGCTATCTCAGTTTTGCCATGTGCCGGTATGTCGTTTTTTCTTCTTATTTAACCTCTTAGAGCAGAGTGGTTATCTCTCATTCTGTCTGCTTTTCTTTGGATCCATAGGAAGAGAATATTGTAACGCTCTATGATGTTCCAAATATCTGGCACGTTCCACTGCTTCTAAGGGTAAGTAAATTTGTATTTGAATAGTTTCTAACCCTACTTACTGAATCAAAGGAGCTTTTGCTGCGATGCTGATATTTGGTGTTTTTTCTTAATAGGATCAAAAGGTTCATGAAGCAATCTTAAAAGAGTTTAACCTCCTTGGGCTTGTCTCTATACCATCTTTTCGATTTTCCTTGTCTATAAGTGTAATTTTTATTCTGCTCTCGGTTCCACACTTTATATAATTCTTTCTCTACTAATTGACATTTGTCTCTTTGTAGCAAAGCTGTAGAGGCTGACGTGACAGAATGGACTGCAAGAACTAAAATTTATGATACGCTGCAAGATCCTGTTAGTCAGTTTTTTTCGAAATATTCTTTTGATGCCTGCGTGTCTATATAATGAAAACCATTGTTCATTCTCAATAGTCTTCTCTTACAGGTCAGAATTGCTATGGTTGGAAAGTACACTGGCCTTACTGATTCTTACCTCTCCGTGTTGAAGGTACCTGAATCTCTCTGATCTGATTAAACCAAATATAGTTATGCATTTTGACCCAAACCTTTAGTTTATGCCCTCATATTTTGTTAAAAGGCGGCTCTAGTATTGAGGATTCTGAAAAACTTTAATTTCAATTTTGCCTGCAGGCCCTTTTGCATGCTTCTGTTGCATGTCACAAGAAGCTTGTTGTAGAGTGGGTTGCAGCCAGTGACCTTGAAGAGATTACATCACAGGAAGTGAGTCTTGCCTTCGTTGCTCTCAGTTTTTATTGTTCTACATCTGTCTTAAATCGCATGAGCCTTTGTATGACTTACCATTGCAGGCTCCAGATGTCCACAAAGCTGCATGGGATCTTTTAAAGGTATGCCAATTTTAATAAAGGCTGGGTTGTCAATTAAGTTAAATATGAATACCTCTGCACTTTTGTTGTTGTAGGGTGCTGATGGTATTTTAGTACCAGGAGGTTTTGGTGATAGAGGAGTGCAAGGAAAGATACTTGCTACAAAGTACGCCCGTGAAAATTTAGTCCCTTTCCTTGGCATATGCCCTGGGGATGCAGCTGGCTGTTGTTGAATTTGCCTGCTCCATTCTTAGCTTGGAGGATGCAAACAGCACAGAGTTTGAACCAGAAACTTAAGCCCTTGCGTCATATTTATGCCAGAGGTACTATAGGCTTTTCATTTCGCTGGTTACATGATTTTCTGTTTGTCAAGTGTCTTCTTAACCTTCTTCAATCTGTTTTTAATGTGTCCACAACTCATATGGGGGGCACAATGCGCTTAGGGTCAAGGAGGACTCACTTTCAGGTTCCTGATTGCAAGTCTGCCAAGTTGTAAGTAACACATTTAGCGCATGATAACCCTTAGGACTCATTTACAAAGCCTATATAACTTCTTATGATTAGTTTTAGGTACGGTAATGCAAAGTTTGTTGAAGAGCGACACCGTCACAGATATGAGGTAACATGTTTTGCTGCATTTCTTCTATTATTTTCCTTGAGCTCTCTCCTGAGTCTTGATAGTGGAATATTTTTGTTTAATGTCAGGTAAATCCAGATATGATATCAGAAATTGAGAATGCTTGGCTCTCATTTGTTGGGAAGGATGAGACTGGGCGTCGTATGGAGGTAATATGCTCTTAGAAACCCTGTTTAATGTGGAGCCTCACTGAGCTTAGAAACAGTAAATGAATGCTTGCATGTTGTTGTGCTTTCATTGTTCTGCGTGTGTGGTGTGTAGATTGTGGAACTACAAAACCATCCATACTTTGTGGGTGTACAGTTCCATCCTGAGTTTAAGTCAAGACCTGGAAAACCTTCAGCATTATTTCTTGGTAATTTCTCGGCTATATAGCATATTGACAAGAACCTGTGTTGATGATGGGACTTACTAAGAAACACTTTGATATAAACAGGTCTTATAGCAGCAGCTTCTGGTTGTCTAGAAGCAGTTCTGCAAGCAAGCAGCAATGTGAACAAAGTTTCTACTAATAGAGTTCCCAATGGACCAGCAATTGGGAAAGTTTACCAGAACGGTAATGTGTATAGCAATGGGAACGGTTTACATCACTGATTCAAGAAAGGAGCAACTTTACTGCATTTTTGAGCTCTCTTTTTTTCCCTTTATCAAAACCACTTTGCATGTATAGAGCCTGAGTTTGTTTCCTTATCTTCAATACTTTGTTGTTAGATTTTGGGGACAGACATGGTCCATGGACGTGAAATGTGCTTCATTTTCTTGGGTTATTTTACCTTTTTCATAGTTAAAAGTAATAAGCATCTCTAATCTACTGTGTTGCCTTTCTTTGTGTCTTTGATAACATGCAATGATCTAGAAATCCTTAGGTGTTGGCCAGGCCCTTTATAAAAAGTTATTATTTAAACTGGTGATTAAACCGATTTTTTGATTTTTAGACCTTTTTTTGAACACTTGTTAAATGCAACCAAACAACAATGCACCATATAATTAGAAAAGCCTTAGCACCAATTATTATCGTTCACAACTTAGTAAAGATCATATCCAAGCTTCCAAATAAATAAAGAATTTACGAGTTTTCCACATTTCTCCATCCTTATTGCTTTACTTCTTCTTGGGATCCAAAATTGCTCCTTCTTTAATGTTTTAGGTGGAAACTTGAACTCCTTTAGCTGCCAATCTTCCTTTGTTTTTCTTTGTCTCAAAAACCTGATCTGATATTTTCCATCGTTGTCAACTCTTAACCATCACTTCACCAGACCGTCATGAACAACAAGAAGGATGACATCAAGACCACAAACACCAAGTCAAGCTGAGAATTAATAGCTGGAACCGAACTTGTTGACTCGGTTTTGCTAGAAGGTGCCTTAGCCTTAGCAGCCTTAGCAGCAGCGGGACCCTTAGCAGAGGAAGGTGGGGACGGTGGAGACGGTGGCTCATCAAACTCATAATCATCATCATTAGGAGCCTGTGGAGGAAGTGGTGAAGATGAAACATAAGGAGTATCAGAAGACGCAGCGTTCATTATAGGTATATAGCTACTAATATGAAGCACCGAGATGGTAAACGGTTGTGAGGCAACAGAGTCTATAAGCTTAGCGTCGAGGAGAGATCCAGGAACCGCGGATCCGAACATGACGTCACCGTTGCTCATAACGGTTGCGTTTATGAACCCTTGCTGGCCTTTGGCTTGACCGCTTGATTGGAAGAGAGTGGTGAGTAATGCTGTTTTTTTGCTCAGGCTCTTGAGTTTCTTGATGTCGTAGTAGTCTAGAACGACGTGGAGGCTGAGTGTTTTCTTGATGTCTTCGGTTGGTTGGTCGGAGAAGGAGGAGACAGCGTCGTTGGAGAGGGCGAGGATGGTTATGGTTTGATGGGAGTTGATGGTGGAAGCGAGTTGGGTTTGGGTGAGGAGTTTGTTGAAATCGGAGAAGTCTTTGTTTTGGTTTAAGATGGTTGTGATGTCGAATGAGTTTGATGAAGTGTAGAGGAAGGTTGAAGCAAAGAAGAAGATGAGTGTAAGCGATGAAGAAGAAGACATTGTGTTGATTTGATGGATCTAGTGGTTGCTTTGTTGTGGATGTATGGTGTGAGCTTTTTATAGAGATGAGACCTGGATGTTTGATTTGCTGTGTTTGATTACGCGTGAGGAAGAGAGTGTGTTTCTCCAAAGTTTTAGGATACTTGTGTCGTGTCTTTTTTGGATCGAGAGCACTTGTCGGGACCCGATTATAGTGGATATATTTTAAGTGTTTTACGTTATTTCAACTGATCTTATGTAAGCCAGTTGTATGCATTAGTATGGATGTAGTAATCATAGTATTTATACTAACCCAATATATCTGAAGATATCTAAAAACAATAAATCAGATCTATACTATTATTTGCCAATTGATTTTTCACAACGGAGCTCTCACGTTAAAAGTTAGAGCGGTTAATATCGATATTATCCTTAATGAATAAATATATAAATCAGCCAATAATAAAAACGAATTTATATTTTTTGAATAGATAAATGATTTAAATTAATAATAATGATAAGAATTATCCATAATCTAAATATATATTTAAAAATAAAAAGATAATTCCTATATATATTGTGTTGTTATCCGGAAAATATATATATAATAAAAAAATTTCAAAAACATAAAACACATAAATAAATATTAATTAAGTAAAAACTATAACTGTATATAATTGAAAATAAAAAATTTAAAAAAATTATAATATGTAATTATTTTCAAATTAAAATAATATAATAATATAATATAATGATATATATATATATATATATTTGTGAAGTTATTTTCGCCTCTGGGCTCACACGTTAAATTAAATTTATTTTTATATTTTTATATATAAGTAATCCTTAAACATGAATTTTTCATAATAAAATAAAAAATCATTCAAAAACAAAAAAATACGTGTTTGGCAAAATAAATTTTAATTGTATTATTATCTAAACTAATATTATTCTTTTTGTAAGATCAATTTTTGAATGTATATTTATCGATTCAATTTTTCAAATTGATAAATAGATTTCTATATTTTTATTAATTAAGAAAAAAGGAAATAGACTTTAGATTTTTTAAAGTTTAAAAGGAATAAGTATATTTTTTTAATTTGTGAATAAATTTATCATGTAAAAAAAATTAATATTTTAGGTTAAACTTTTTGGATGCAAATATCATTTATTTTGATGATTTTTAAATAGATTTAAAGATAATTAAGCCCGCATGTGCGGACAAAACACCTAGTTACGTATATTTTAGATATTCTTTGGATACTCGTAGTTTAACTGTTGCCGATACGGCATTATGAGTTTAGACCCAATAAATTTTATTATTTTTCTTCTAAATAATATTTCTTTCTTTATAAATAACAAAGGAAAATTAATAATTTCTAATTTAGAAGAAAAAAGAAATATACAAAATGGATTTATAAATATAGAAATAGATTAAAGATGATCTTATAAAACAATTATCTTAAAATATACTCATAAAACTCGAGTGGATTTATCAACATTATCAAAATACTAATATATATATATATATGTTTACCTTTTGTCTGTTATTTCTTTAAAAATCATGCATCATTTAGTTAATGGACATTTGTCTTATAATTCCTCAAAGCCTTCTCTAATAGTTTTTCATACAAGAACTTTACTTATTTGATCTTCACTTTTCAGTTTTTATTTATTTAAAGGTTGAGAAATCTTCTAAAAACCCTTTTGATGCTGTTGTCCTTAAAACATCTACATTTGTTATCAAAGTTTCAAAAAAAAAAAGTCTACATTGGAAGAAACTATAGTTCTCATTTCTCAATGCTTTGTTTTATAAAGAATGTAATTTTAACATTTTTTTTACTTTTTTTACTTTTCAAGGAATATCATTTTACGATTCCAATACAATTCCTATCTAGTTTAAAATTATAATAATTATAAAATAAATTGATTTTATAATATTTTTTATGATTCCAATACAATTCCTATCTAGTTTAAATTTATAATAATTATAAAATAAATTAATTTTATAATATTTTTTATTCATTTCCTACACTATTAATTATATAGTTGTAATTATTGAAAATATAAATTTATTAAGTAAAAACTAAAATGACACTCGTTAGGTATGATGAAGGTCTTGTTTTCTCTAATTTTCATTTTTATTGCTGAGAATTCAATGACATACTCCTATTGAAGAGTTTTTAATTTGATGGACTGGGTCATATTTGAGCCCATGAAAATGGAAAAACTGGTTGGCATTTTCAAGTCAACCAATACCAAACCCGTTCGTTGATAAACCCTAAATTACGTAGACCTTCTCCCCTCCATCAAATCCAGCCACGACGACAACGATGATGATCTCTCGTCGATTAGCTTCCAAATTCCTCAAACCTTTATCCTCCTCATCCCTAAGCTCCTCCCGCCACCACCTCCACTCTTCCACAAGAAACCACCTAATCCACGGATCAGAAACTCAGCATCTCAATCTCTTAACACCGTTCTCTGCTTACACCGAGAACCTCCGATCTCAAACATGGCCAACGAGACACTTCTCAACACCGAGCAAAGACACCAATCCAAACCCAGAGGAAGAGCCCAAGATGAAGCACCAAGAGATCGAAGGACCAACAGTGGAACGCGACGTGTCGGCGTTAGGTAACGAGACGAGACAAGTGTTCGAAGGGATGATGAAGAACATGTATAGTTTAAGTGGAGCCATGGGTCTTCTCGGTTTAACTCAATTGGTCGTCGGAGGCACGATTATGTACGCGACTAGAACGAATCCGATTCATGAGATGACGATTCAGAGCTGTATTGCGTTTGGTTTCCCTTTCGCGATGGCGTTGATGGTGAGACGATCGTTGAAGCCGATGTATTTTTTCAAGAAGATGGAGGAAGCGGGGAGGTTGCAGATTCTGACTTTGACTCTTCAGGTTGCGAAGAATCTTAATGTGTTGTTTGTTAGAGCTCGTGTTGTGTCCATCTTGTGTGTTGTGGGATTGTCTTGCGGGAACTTGTATCTTCTGTTGTCTCCATAAGAATGGAAACAGAGCTATTTTCTTGTCTTTTTTTTTTTTTTTTAATATTATCCATACGAAAGAACGAACCATAATGTCATCAATAAGGAAAACGAAATGAGAAAATCCGACAGGGTAGATTCTTGCTCTGTTTTTATCTATTAAACTGTTGCATGTCCGTCTGATTGTGATTGTGTTCGGACATAAGTCATGCTACGAGTGCTTGGAGCTACGATGTTGTTTGTAGTCTCAGCTGAATCGCGTTTCCATTGCATACTTCTGGCTACTCCAGCTCTAATGACAGAACGGCCCCTGAATGCACCACCAGGGATACCTCTACGGTATGGTGAGGCTCTTGCGTACCTTCCTGCTCGAGCCCATGACGCAGCCTCCTGTTGTTGCCCACTGCTTCCTTTCACAATCTGCATCCATCAGAATTGTAAACAAAGTCATCCAACTAACACTCTAATCGTTCCTAGAGACTACCAAATAACTTTGATTTGGTTAATCATAGTTGAGCATGAGTTTTTCAGTATTTTTACCTTGAGAATCCGAGACATGAAAGAGGTACTGTCTAGAGACAATGCATTATCTGCAGCTTCCTTGCGTGTAAACTCGATGAATGCTGATCTGCAAAAGGCAAACAACTTTGGTCATTAAGGTGTCTCTGATAGTGATAACTGAACTTTGCATTATCAAGACAATTTTAGTAATTTACTATGAATGCAGAAAACTTACCCACTTGGTTGCCCTGTCGCTGGATCTGTAACTATGACAGCTTTAAGCACTTCACCACATTTGTTAAAATGCCTTGAAAGGCTATCCTTGGTGGCACCAAAATGAACCTGTTTTACGACCAAACCACACTCAAATCAATAAACCAAATGAAAAGTTTTTGCTCAAGTCCAGTTCAGGAACAAATAAAGAGTTGCAATCACTACATTGGCGACAAAGATTGTTCGAGAACTAGCATCTTCCAAAGGGCGCGTAGTAGATAATGCCCCTGCAAATGCCAGTATATCATATTCAGACCAACTCATGCAGAAAAAATGTATCAACAGGGACCAATGTCAAGGACAAATGACATTCCAATTAAAACCTGATGTAACTTAACAACTCACCGGGAACAGATTTCTTGGTAGCTGCGTCTTCTTTCACACTGGAAGCAGTCTTTATCTGTCAAAGAACAAAAGTCCAGGTTGTATGAGGAGTCAAGTGATACTCGTACGATCATTGCAACATAGCCATGATAACATGGAAACATTAACAAGAAAATTCTAGGATAATTTATGATATAACTAGTAAGAATGTGCATCAAAACATGGAACTTACATTACGACTCCCTATTGTAGATGATTTTGTGAAGGCTTCACTAGAAACTACTCTGCCTCTGTCCATATACCTTTGCAGACCCACATCTGGCACTTTCATCTGCTCTTCTAACTTCACTGTTTTCCCTGTATCTGCATTGGCAGAGAAACCTATAGCTTTCTGCTTGGTTGCAACTTCAGTAAGGTGATTTCGATAATTCATACCTTTAACTCTTCTGGGGTCATCGACTAAACGATCCTGCAGACTATTCGGATTGTTAATTCTGTTCCCAACAAAAGAATTTGGGTGAGACACATTAACACTTGAACCGAGTCTGCTTCGATCAGACGAAAAGTTGGGCTGCAAGCCAGTGTCAAAAGTCGCCATGTTCTCCACATACATTCCATTGTTGTCAAGACGCTGCGTGAATTGATGATGTACCGATTCCTGATCTTCCCTAAAATTCCTCCGTTCTTCATTCTTAGGGGAAACTTCACCAAGTACCATATGTTGGTCCAAAGCCTCAGAGAAACCAGCGGAATGACTAATTCTGTCAAAGACACTTCTCCCAGATTTTGGATTTTTGGCATCTTCAGCTGCTTCAGCGACAGCTTTGATAACAGTATCCATGGGATTCACGACTCTCGCAGCAGATCGAATTCTCTGAGCTGGGTTGGGTTCAGATGAGTCTTGAGCCGACGCAGACACCACTGAGCGGAGACGTTTTAATGAGGGTTCAGTGGGCTTTGACGTAGCCAGAGCATCTCGCACAGCAAACTGAAGCAGCCGGCTAGAAACAACAGGTTTATCCTCCCTCTGTCAAAGAGGCAAAGAATAGATCATCAGAGAACCATAACCACTACCCCGTACATTAGACATACATCAGGACATGCATAAGACGACTAGCAAAAGGCAACCCCAATCAAACAAAGTCACAAGGGTAACGTCTCACACATGTTAGTCCCACACAAAGCAGAACGAAAAAGTACCCTCTGATCCAAATTTAACTCTGAGAAAGTCTTCATAAACGATACGATATCCCATCCAAGGAACTAACTCAACATATTTTACAATTTATCTCCTCAGGGTAACGCGTGATGATTGCTACGACGCAGAAAATAAATAAAATACACAGACCTGTTCACTCCGTGAGCTGTCAGTTTTACTCCTCTTCCTATGGGACTGAGACTGCGGAGACGGAGACCTTTTACCACGCCTTTCTCTGTGACCTCTCTTCTCGTAATTATGACTTCTGTGAACCTCAGAACTCAGAAGAGGAGGAACATCAGGCGCATTACTTAGCTGACTTCTCCATCCTCTCCCGCGTCGAGCACCAGACCTTCCTTTCTCAGATTCAGAATCCATTTGCACAAGTTCTTTAACCTCCTCATTCTGAATACTTACAGTAAAATATTCATCCTTACTTTTACCCATATGATCCCACAACCTGCACATAACCTTCTTAGTAAGTCTCAAAATCTATAAAAAGAGATATCCTTCGATAAGGTCAACATACCAGGCCACAAAAGAATCACTATCATCTGCAAGAAATATCTTCAATTCATTATTTGCTTCCTCTTTACTTCTCCCGTTCTTAAGCAAGACTATCACATACTCCTGCAAACAACATAGTGTTATTTACAACAAACTCAGCAAACCCTAGCTAATCAAGACTAAAGCATGTAAGTAACCAAATCGTACCACAAGAATGTCATCAGTGTAATCTCCCATGTACTCTTTCAATTTAACTTTCACTCTCTCTTTCAATTTCGCTACTCCTTCGTCACTGAAATCGCCATTGAAGGTCCGATCATCATCGACTGGATCGGCGTTTCCCATCTTCACTTAAACTTCCCCTTCGCAGTGACAGAAGATGAAAAATTAAGAAATCAATAAATACATTTCTAACTCCATCAAAAACCCTAATTCAATTCGAGAGCGGAGAGATTCTGCAACCTCAGGCTGTTGGTGGGGTTCTTTAGGGTTTGGTAACTCACTGTGTGTGTCGGGGGAAATCGAAAGAGCACCCACCCGCTCGATTTCTGATTACACATGTAGCCGAACCAATTAGGAGACTGATTGGTGTGTGGGCTTTGAGGGCTTTGTGGTTATGTAAAGCCATTAAAGCCAAATATTTGCCAATCACTTCTTTTAGGCTTTAGAAATTTGTAAAGCCACTAAAGCCCACTTTTTTAAAAAACTGTTTTTTTGTTCATTTTTTTCTACAGCCACCTTTTGAGACTTTACAACACACTCTTTTTTTTTTGCTATGACAAAAAAACGTGATTTATTTTTATTTTTGACTTTTGCTCATTTCTTACTAAAATAAAAGAAATAATAAGCATAATAATTAATAAATTCATTTTTATTAGTTAGTTTAAGTTTTACCACCAATAAAAAATCATATCTTACTATTAATAGACTATTAATTTGTTGAAGACTAAAAAATATAAATAATTGAAAACATTTAGGATAGATTCAAAAAGTATAATAAATGAAAGAAAAATAAATGCAATGATTTATAAATTCATTTTCATTAGTTAGTTTACATTTTACCATCAAGAAAAAATCATACCTTACTATTAATAGACTATTAATTTGTTAAAGACTAAATTTTTTTGTATAAATAATTGAAAACATTTATGAAAGATTTAAAAAATATAATAATTGAAAGAAAAAATAAATACAATGATTTATAAATTCATTTTCATTAGTTAAATTAGGTTTTACCATCAAGAAAAAGTCATACTTTACTATTAATAGATTATTAATCTGTTAAAAACTAAAAATATTGTATAAATAATTGACCATGATGAGATTGCAAATATCATATGGGCTAAAACCCGTTAATTTTTTAATAATTATTTTTGTTTTATCTAATAAATTGTAAATTATTTTAAATTTAATTTTGAATAATTTTTATTTATTTAATAAATTATTATCTTATTTTCAATTTAATAAAATAATTTTGTTGATTACAATTTCAAAATTTTACAATAAAGAAATAAAATATATTGTTGATAAATTTGATTGATTTTCTGTTCTTAAGCTACCCAATATATTTTATAAACTTGTATAAATAAAAAATAGGTAATACATTTTGAAAAATGAATTATAAACATATATTTATAACAGTCATAGTTTCTAAAGCTTTGAGTACCAATCATGCTTTTAATTTTCTCTAAAGTAACAGTTACAGTCCTTAAAGCCAAAATCTCTACAGCCACAATTTTAAAGTCAAAGCCTAAAGCGAAAGTCATTACCAATCGGACCCTAGAGATATTAATATATACACTGGAAATTAAAAAATTAAATTAATTTTCTTTTGTTTATGTTGAGGTTCATGGCGTGCTTAAGAGGAGGAGTTCAAAAAGGAGTTTCGTTATTGGGTTGCGCCGAACTGTTTTAGGCCCATCGGCTTAGAACAAAATTTATAAGAGGAGTTAGGCCTTTGTACATAATTTCCTGATCCATGAACTTGTCTGCACTTTTTTTACCGGTTGTGTTAGGTGTTGAACCAAAGAGAGATTGACGTAAAACATTTTTTTACCAATTGTGTTGATGTGTGACATTTAAACTAATCATGTGTAGAATGAAAGATATTGCAAATCTGGGAAGAGGGAACAATTACAACTTTTACTTCCAAAGGATTAAAAGGTATTGTAATGTTGTGTAGCTGATAAGTTAGCTGAAGAAGGTAGGATTACAAACTCAAATTATGTTGTAAGGTAAAAAAAACACTATGTAACATTTCCTAATGTTTAATAGTAAGGTTGACGATAAAAAAAAAAAAAAAAAAACTAATCATGTGTAGTTGCATTATTTTCTGGAAAAAGGACTGAGTCTGCAGAAAGCTGACTTTTCTAGTAGGGTTGGGGGTCTATATGTGTAATAGTCATTTTATTCATATTCTTAATGAATAGTTTTTTATTTTTTGAAAGGGACTATAATGATAGTTGCATGAGAGGTCTAACTCCTTTTTCACGACATAAATCATATCTCTTGAGTTGGTTGGGTTACGTAGCCATTATAAAGTTGCAAGATGATTTGGACGCTTCGAACAAAGTCTCTAACAAAAAAAAAAAATATACAGTAATAGTGTAATACAATATTATAAAATCATCGAAACTTTCTTCTGAAAGAGGAAAATCATCGAGCTTAATATATAATCAAAACACGACTAGGACACGTTACTGGCCGCTTTTTCTATACGCCAAGCAAAAAAAAAACTTGTCGAGAGAAATTGGGTGGTGACTGGTGAGATGAGTTGTGACGCACAATGCCTAGTATAATAATAACACCGTGATAAGAGAGACACGTCGCCTAAATGACCAAACCACCCTTTCATTTCTAACGAATCTACATACACATGCCACTCGACAGACAACTTTGTCTTGACGATCGAGAAAGATCAAATCCGAAGCAAAGACAACAACAACAACAACCAACAATAATAATCATTCATCCACTAATTATATAATTCAAAATAAATAAAAATAAATCGAGGTTTTCAGATTTTTAATCACTCTCTCATCTTCGTTTTGCATCAATCCGATGTCTCCGACCATCTCTCTCATCTCCGATCTTGATCGGAGCTTTGATTAAAAAGATTCCTTCTCCGATCCGAATCTCAACTCAACTTCACCATCTTCGCCGCCTTAACAACCGGATTCTCCCTCGCAATCGCCTCGCGCCCAGCGGTTTTATAATCATAGCTACAATCATGGCGATCTGAGTACCGATGCTCGGCGCAGAAAAGGTCACCGCATCGGCACCTGAACCCGGTCAAACCGACTTTCTTACGACAACCGGAACATCGGTTTATCGTCTGTTGATGATGATGATGATGATGATCTCTCTTAACCGGATCGATCTCTCTGGGACGGATCACGACTTTGGCTGGTGTTGACCGGAGATTAACGGATCTGGATGATTTTTTAAGGATTGGATTGGAATCTACGGAGGAGGAGGCGGAGGAGGCGAGGGAGGCGTTGAAACATTTCTGACACATGTTGTTGTTGTTGGTTGAGGGATTCGCGGTGACGCCGCAGTTGTTGGAGCAGAGGGTTGGGGTGGTGGTTGTTAAGGTTTCGAGGACTTTGAACTCCGTCTCTTCCTTCTCTGTTCTCTGCGCCATCTTTGTTTGTTGATGATTAATTTTTCTCTGGCGTGCTCAAGAATTGTATTGAGAAGAAAGAGAGAAAGGAGATTATTTAGAAAGAGAGGGAGAGAGAGGAAATGGGAAAGGAATATGGGCCTCATAGAGATGCGTTTACAACTCTTATCATCTCTCTCCACCACCCCTACTTTAGGTGTGAATTACGTAAATATCCTCACTGCTTTCGCGGAATTACGGAGAGTTTTTAAAAAAATATTGTATTTCAGTGATTCTAGAATGGCTTGTGAAGTTGTGAGTTGTGACACCATACAGCGAGACAATATGTGTTCTCTATCATATCCATTTCTTTTTCTGTTTTTTTTTATAGTATACCTTTTTTTTTTAACAACTTTTTTCAAAGTATACTCTAAATTAATTATTATGATTTTGTAATTGAGGACAAACAAAAAATGTTTTTGTAGTTGAGATATGAAGGGATATGGGCCAAGTTGTTATTTTTTATATCTTGGGCCAAGTTGATTAAAATTTGCAGAGCATGTACAGTTTCTAACTAACTAGGTGACCCACCCGCACCCTGTGCGGATATAAAAATATAGTATAATGCTGAGACAGAAGTATCTATTGAGTTCAAATGTGGGACTTAGTGGAACAAGTGAGAGTTTCAATGCTGAGACAAGATTTGCGCAAATCTCTAGGATGCAGTAGAGGTGGGCAAATCGTTACATTTTCGGTTTGGTTTGTTTAGTTCGGTTTTAATATTTTTTTTTTCAACTGACATAAACNAGTGGAACAAGTGAGAGTTTCAATGCTGAGACAAGATTTGCGCAAATCTCTAGGATGCAGTAGAGGTGGGCAAATCGTTACATTTTCGGTTTGGTTTGTTTAGTTCGGTTTTAATATTTTTTTTTTCAACTGACATAAACCTAATTTAGTCTGGTTCGGTGTGGTTTATGTCCAGTTCAATTTATATTCAGTTCGGTTTTTTTTTGGATCGGCTTAATTAGGTTCTTTGTCGCTTAATTTTTTTAAAAAAAAATTAACATCATTAGTATGTTTTTAATAAAAGTTAACTATTAAAAAAACAAATGTAAGTAAGATATACTGGAGACAGTGACATATTAAAAATGTGATAAAATCTCATAGATATCACAATCCCATAGAAAATGTGATGAAAGTTTAAATATAATTCATAAGTAATATAAAATAAAAAGAACATTTATGAATAAAAAAATCCCATAGAAACCTGCTAAAAAAATTGTCAATTTTTTTAGCAATTGTACAATATAAAATAATTTAATAGATTTCTAAATTTTATCGAGACGAAAATAATATTGAATTTGCATATCGCTATTGAAACAAACTGAAAAATGGTTTGTAATCAACTACAAACAGTCTTTCATCTGTGTTATTTATCTGTTAATATAAAAACAAACAAATGTATATATATAGTAAATCACATTTTTAAGATCCATATTTATATATATATATATATATATAATTAAGATAATAGTTTTGGATTTTCTAAATCTCAAATCACCATTATATTTGTGGTTTTCTAAATGGATAATAGTTTTAGGCTTTTCTAACTCAAATCACCATTATCATATAAATTTGTTCAAGGTAATTGATAGCAAAATAAGGTAATCATCATATTTCCGAATTAACTAATTAGGA